TTTAACCTTTAATCGTGGACTGATTTAACCTTTAATCGTGGACTGATTTAACCTTTAATCGTGGACTGATTTAACCTTTAATCGTGGACTGATTTAACCTTTAATCCTGGACTGATTTAACCTTTAATCCTGGACTGATTTAACCTTTAATCCTGGACTGACTTGAACTCTAATCGTGGACTGATTTAACCTTTAATTCTGGACTGATTTAATCTTGATTTTGGACTGATTTAACCTTTAATCCCGGACTGATTTAACCTTTAATCCTGGACTGATTTAATCTTGATTTTGGACTGATTTAATCTTGATTTTGGACTGATTTAACCTTTAATCCTGGACTGATTTAACCTTTAATCCTGGACTGATTTAACCTTTAATCATGGACTGATTTAACCTTTAATCCTGGACTGACTTGAACTCTAATCATGGACTGATTTAGCCTTTAATCTTGGACTGATTTAACCTTTAATTCTGGACTGATTTAATCTTGATTTTGGACTGATTTAACCTTTAATCCTGGACTGATTTAACCTTTAATTCTGGACTGATTTAATCTTGATTTTGGACTGATTTAACCTTTAATCCCGGACTGATTTAACCTTTAATCCTGGACTGATTTAATCTTGATTTTGGACTGATTTAACCTTTAATCCCGGACTGATTTAACCTTTAATCCTGGACTGATTTAATCTTGATTTTTGGACTGATTTAACCTTTAATCCCGGACTGATTTAACCTTTAATCGTGGACTGATTCAACCTTTAATCTGAAAATACTCAGCTTGTAAATACAGCCTGATTCCACGGTAAACAGGACACATTTCAGTCCCAGTCATTAAGCCATAATTTATTTTATATTTTTCCTGTAGTTCCCTGATGTATGCAATGGTTCAGCCTCTCTCTGTGTAATCCATCCCTGAGCTGATGTACTTTTCAATCATTTATTAGAATACATAATATTTAATGATCTGTTCTTCATACACAGACATAAGAATACTATAACTTTTCTGCTATTTTTATAGTGTATTTTTGGAGAAACAAACTGTCTTCTATACATTGTTTTAATAATTTAAGCACATATGTTACAGCTCGTAAGACACGACAGATGGATGCATCTTGATTTAATCCTAAAACTGCATTGATTCATGGTTGTTTCACTGATTCAGTCAGTGTGTAAATTTCTTTTTCTTTTTTTCATGCAAAGCATTGAAAACTTTGTCCATAAGCAGTGTTKACACTTAAAGCTGTGGTAGAGCCTCTCTACTCTCTTTATAGGACATGTTTCAGGAACAAACATAAGAAAAGACTTGACTCCACTGTTTGCATTGATGCACTGACTGTGCGTGTGTGTACTGATTAACTCTCTGTGGTTAATGACTCCTCTGGACACATCAGTCCCACAGTATCTCTCACTCTGTTGTGTTTTTAACTGCCTGTTCTTTTTGTTTTTCATGCAGATAATGGCAGAAATTCATGAACATAAAATCAAAATATATGACTTTCCAGAGACGGATGATGAAGAGGAGATGAAGGTGATCAGAAAAATCAAGGTCAGCTTGTCTAAATGCATCCTGTGTGACAAACTGCAGTTTTTAGTTGTGTGTAAATCTACAGTCTGGAGTTTATATTTCCAGCTGTTCACAACAAGACAACTCTTCTCTGCAGGATCGTTTACCCCTGGCTGTCGTCGGTAGTAACACCATCATTGAGGTGAACGGAAAGCGAGTTCGTGGAAGGCAGTACCCATGGGGTGTGGCCGAAGGTGAGAGTCTGCTACGGTGTGTGCTCACCTGTACAGGTTTCTAAAGAAAGGACTGCTACCAGAGTGCAGGAAATAGACATTTAAGGTTCTTGTTGGAGTTCAGGTTTGTAGAAACACAATTGTTGATTTTTTTTTAAATTTACAGTTACCACACTGCAAAAAATGTCCACCTAACCAAGTTTTAAAAYCTTATATCAGTCAAAAAGTCTTTTTGATCTTGCTTTGAGACTGATTTACTAAACAAGAACTGATTGTGTAAGAATAATCATCTTGTTTTCAGAATGTGTAAGATTATTTGTCTTGTTAGTCTGAAAATTTGACTCAAATTAACAAGACAAACAAGCTTACACATTCTGAAAACAAGATGATTATTCTTACACAATCAGTTCCTGTTTAGTAAATCAGTCTCAAAACAAGATCAAAGACTTTTTGGCTGATATAAGGTTTTAAAACTTGGTGAAATGGACAGTTTTTGCAGTGCAAAGCTTGAATGACTTCTTTCAGATGTTGTAGTAGGAACACTACGGATGCAGTCATGAAGAAAGTTTAGAGTTATGGGCCAAACAATTCTCAAATAGAAATTTCCTCTGTTTCTAAAAGTTTAAAATTTTTGAAGAATTGCTTTATTTACAAAAAGTAATCGTTATTTGACCAACTTTGTAGAATTCCTCTACAGAGGAACCAGCACTTAAAGAACCAACACTGGAAGACCAAATTATAAGGACCAAAAGAAGAGAACCAGTTCTTTTGGATGGACACAGAAGGACCAGTTCTTCAAGTCTGGCACCAGAGGACCAGTTCTTCAAAATCAATTCTTTTGGATGGACGTAGAAGGACCAGTTCTTCAAAACAGACAGGCCAAGGATAAACAGTTCTTAAGGGGCAACTTCAGGACTGACAATGGATTACACGATCTTTAGGACCAACACAGGAGGACCATTAAGTCTGGCACCAGAGGACCAGTTCTTGAGGATCAACAGAAGAGAACCATTGGTTAAGGAGCAAATCTTTTAGACTGTTAACTGAACTTTTCATGGCCTCGAAAGTGAGATATAAGATTTTAGAAATAAAACTTAATGAGCCAATAAAACTGTTTATAATTGAAGGAGGGGGTCTGCAAATGTTTCAAGTTAATTAACTTACTTTAGTGATCCTGTGGTTCAATGCTTTGTTAAACTAACCACAAAGTTGTTGTTTGYGCCATCTTTAATATTCCCTCTGTGATAAATCTGTTAGTTGGTCAGATCTTGTGGTCGCTTTTGGATGCCATCAGCTCATTATCATTTTCAGTTCCCCACGAGGACCGGCGGTCCTCTGGGAGGGAGTTTTGGAATACCACAAATGTTTTCTTGGCTCCGTGTCAGCAAAATATTTGGCCCGGGCAGGGAGAGGACAGAGGAGGAGGGCGAGGGCCCTGAGAAGCTGAACCTCAGAGGACTGTGGTGAGCCTCTCTGTGGGGGGACACGTGATCTACTGTACGTCTACAAGGAGGAGGACCTGTTTGCAGCGGTCTGCAATCTTTGGCTCTGGAGTCTCATGTGGTGGCTCTCCAGTGACTCCTCTGTTTAACTTCATTATTTTCCAGACATGATGAAAGTTAATGCTTTTTTTTTCTAAATGGGCACTTTATCTTGAAGAGGGGGTATTATGTAAAATCAWTTTTTTGATCTTTTGCTTTTTCTTCCAGTGGACAATGGAGAACACTGTGATTTCATGATCCTTCGTAACATGTTGATCAGGTGAGAGGTTCTAATAAAGGTTCATGATTCAAGAAAACACCTGAGAAGATCCATCAGTCTGAATAATAAACTCATACACGACGGCTGTATGTTTCACTTCTCCAGGAACCACATGCAGGATCTGAAAGACGTCACAAACAACGTTCATTATGAGAACTACCGCAGCAGGAAGCTGGCGGCGGTCACCTGTAACGGTGTGGACAACAACCAGAACAAGGGTCTGCTCACAAAGTGAGTCTGAACACAGTCTGTAAGCCAGACCACCGCTGCCCCTCTAACATTTCAGTCCTGCTTCCAGTAGGGCTCTCTGTACTACAGAGGTCGGGTTTTTGTCTGTGTGGGCGGAGTTTGTCCTGATCAGTATTGTTAGCATGTTAGCAACATTTTAGCATGGTTCATGTTAGCATGGTTCATGTCAGCATGGTTCCTGTTAGCATGGTACATGTTTGCATGGCTCCTGTTAGCATGGTTCCTTTTTGCACGGTTCCTGTTAGCATGGTACATGTTTGCATGGTTCCTGTTAGCATGGTTCATGTTTACATGGCTCCTGCTAGCATGGTTCCTGTTAGCATGGTACATGTTTGCATGGCTCCTGCTAGCATGGTTCCTGTTAGCATGGTACATGTTTGCATGGCTCCTGTTAGCATGGTTCCTGTTAGCATGGTACATGTTTGCATGGTTCCTGTTAGCATGGTTCCTGTTAGCATGGTTCCTGTTTGCACGGTTCCTGTTAGCATGTTTCATGTCAGCATAGTTCCTGTTTGCATGGTTCCTGTTAACATGGTTTCTCTTTCATGTTAGCATGGTTAATGTTAGCATGGTTCCTGTTAGCATGTTTCTTGTTTGCATCGTTCCTGTTTGCATGGTTCATGTTAACATGGTTTATGTTAACATGGTTCATGTTAACATGGTTCGTGTTAGCATGGTTTGTGTTTGCATGGTTCCTGTTAGCATGGTTTCTGTTAGCATGTTTCATGTTGGCATCGTTCCTGTTTGCATGGTTCATGTTAACATGGTTCATGTTAGCATAGTTCATGATAGCATGGTTCATATTAGCATGGTTCCTGTTAACATGGTTCCGGTTAGCATGGTTCATGTTAGCATGGTTCATGTTTGCATGGTTCTTGTTAGCATGGTTCCTGTTAGCATGGTTCATGTTAGTATGGTCCATGTTAACATGGTTCATGTTTGCATGGTCACTGTTAACCATGGTTCCTGTTTGCACGGTACATGTTAGCATGGTTCATGTTAGCATGRTTCCTTTTTGAATGGTTCCTGTTAGCATGGTTCTTGTTAGCGTTGGTCCTGTTAACATGGTTCCTGTTTGCGTGGTTCCTTTAATGGTTCATGTTAACATGGTTCCTGTTTGCATGGTTGCTGTTAGCATGGTTCATGTTAGCATGGTTCATGTTAGCATGATTCATGTTAGCATGGTTCATGTTTGCATGGTTCATGCTAGCATGGTTTATGTTAGCATGGTTCATGTTAGCATGGTTCCTGTTAGCATGGTTCATGTTAGCATGGTTCATGTTAGCATGGTTCCTTTTTGAATGGTTGCTGTAAGCATGGTTCATGTTTGCATGGTTCATGTTAGTATTGGTCCGGCTAGCATGTTTTCAGTTAGCATTTGTCCTGTTAGCATGGTTCATGTCAGCATGGTTCCTGTTAGCATGGTTCCTGTTAGCATGGTTCATGTCAGCATGGTTCCTGTTAGCATTGGTCCTGTTAGCATGGTTCATGTCAGCATGTTTCATGGTAGCATGGTTTCAGTTAGCATTGGTCCTGTTAGCATGGTTTATGGTAGCATGGTTCCTGTTAGCATGGTTCATGTCAGCATGCTAAGTGTTTGTACGTTTCTTTGTTTTCAGGTCGGAGCCAGCGGATGACATGTAAGTTTTGAAGTGTTCCCTCTCTCCGTCACGTCTTCTCTCTGCTTTCAGTCTTTACAGAATGCACATCAACCTGTGCCTTCCATGGCCTTGATGTTTTCACCAGTTCGGTCCTCCACTGTTGAATATACAAGGAATGAAATAATTACTTCTCCAAAGATTTGGATTTAATTTTGTTGTTTAKTTTGTCCTACAGCTCTTGTAACCTAACCTCTTTCACCTCTTGCTSCAAATTTTCTTTCCTCCCTCTCTTGTGGATGAAACCTTCAGAATGTGGTCTGATCTTGGGGTACAGAACTCTAAGTAGTTGTTTATTGATAACGTTTTGCCTCGGATAGATTTGCTCTTCCATCGCATCATTTTTTCAAATATTTGCAAATACGCAGTTTCACAGTAATTTCCCTTCTTTCGTCTCCTGCCTGATGACTCTGACCTGGACTCATTGTTTTTGTTKACGTCAAAGCTACATGGTTACACTTGAACCCTAATCAGTTTTATCTACTCAAAACCCTTAAACTGGATCAGGAGTTTCTGGGAACAGGTTATTGGGGAGAATATCTGGGATGAGCTGTGGTCATGTATGTTGACAGGGGTACATAAATCATTGGCTGTACCTGGCTGATGTACAAGGATGCAGGTGGTTGTTGGGGCTCTCCAATCAGTTTAAAYGATAACTTAATCTGCTGTAGTCATTTATGTAACTTGACCGAACCATGACACCAGGGAAAAGGATAAAACTGATTCAATAAAAGCATGCTAAAACATGGTTATTTTGGTCAATATTACCTTATCAAAAGACCTTTAATTAAAGTAACTTCATGCTTGTGGGGTTTTCTTCTAAAATCAATAATCATATCTTTTGTCTTATCAATGTAAAGTAGGAGAAAAGACCATCATYATCACACCATCGAACAAGTCATCAGTCACCTGTCCATGACCACTTTCATTGTCTTTAAGCAGACTGACAATAACAGAATCATCTGCATACTTTATAATGAACCTGTTGTCATGTTTGCTCTGACAGTGTACAGAATAAAAAGTAGAGGTGACGGTACACATCCTTGAGGTGACCCAGTGGAAGARTGCTTAAAGTCAGAGAGACACTGTGTCCTGTTACTTAAAAAAATCCAGGATCCAGCCCACCAGACTGTTACACAAATTAAACTGTTCCACAAGTCTCTTGATTAATAAATGAGGTTGGRCTGTATTAAAAGCTGAGGAAAAATCACGTGTCCCATTAAAGTCGAGGTGTTTAAGAAGCAGGTTTAGCAAAGTGAGAGTTGCATCCTCAGAAGATTACTCCACTTTACAACTGTTGGTTAGATGAATTAACTTCCTTCTATCTCAGATTAAGTGTTTTAATGTTTTTTATACAGCTGTGTCCAAATTCAGAGGCTGGGTCCTTCAAAAGAACCGGCCGGTCTAGGTGGGCCGGGTCCTTGTAGTCCGTGAAGACCAGAAAAATARTGGCTGTGAGTTTTGGACGGTCTAGCCTTGTGCTTTATTCCCACCCTTACCCTGTCTCCAGGAGTCCTATTGGTCAGATGGAGGAGGAGCGACGGGAACACCTGGCCAAGATGAAGAAGATGGAACAGGAAATGGAGCAAGTCTTTGAGATGAAGGTCAAAGAGAAGCTCCAGAAGCTCCGAGACTCTGAGGCTGAGGTACAGTGGGCTCRGGATCTTCCTGCTGGTCTCTGAGTGTCCCCAGCTGACCCTGACTCGTGTCTCTGTCTCCATGTCCTTTTAGCTCCAGAGACGTCATGAACAGATGAAGAACAACCTGGAGCTTCAGCTCAGAGAGCTGGAGGAGAAACGCCGTCAGTTTGAGGACGAGAAGACCAACTGGGAAGCACAGCAGAAGATCCTGGAGGCGTCCAGGTGAGCCCTTCAGAGGATTCATTATTTAGTGTCNCATCCAACCAACCATCTATCATCCATCCATTATCCAACTATCCATAATCCATCCATCCACCCATCTTCCAACCAACCATCTATCGTCCATCCATCATACAACTAACCCTAATCCATCCATCCATCCATCATCCAACTAACCATAATCCATCCATCTATCATCCAACCAACCATCTATCATCATCCATCCATTCATCATCCAACCATCTATCATTATCCATCATCCAACCAACCATCTATCATCATCCATCCTTCCATCATCCAACCATCTATCATCATCCATCATCCAACCAACCATCTATCATCATCCGACCAACCATATATCATCCATCCATCATCCATCCATCCATCATCCAACCAACCATCTTTCATCTTCCATCATCCAACCAACCATCTATCCATCATCCAACCATTATCCAACCAACCATCTATCATCATCATCATCCAACCATCCATCCATCCATCATCCAACCAACCATCTGTCATCATCCATCATCCAACTCACCATAATCCATCCATCTATCCATCATCCAACCAACCATATATCATCCATCCATCCGTCATCCAATCAACCGTCTATCATCATCATCCAACCAACCATCCATCCATCATCCAACCAACCATCTATCATCATCCATCATCCAACCATCCATCCATCATCCAACCATCATCCAACCAACCATCTATCATCATCATCCAACCAACCATCCATCCATCATCCAACCAACCATCATCATCTATCATCCAACTAACCATAATCCATCCATCTATCCATCATCCAACCAACCATATATCATCCATCCATCCATCCATCATCCAACCAACCATCTATCGTCATCCATCATCCAACCAACCATCCATCATCCCTTATCCAACCATCATCCAACCAACCATCCATCCATCATCCAACCAACCATCTTATCATCATCCATCATCCAACTAACCATAACCCATCCATCTATCCATCATTCAACTAACCATAATCCATCCATCTATCCTTCATCCAACCAACCATATATCATCATTCATCATCCAACCAACCATCCATCATCCATTATCCAACCATCATCCAACCAACCATC